TTAGGGGCTTAGGGGCTTAGGGGCTTCGGGGCTTCGGGGCTTCGGGGCTTGGGGGCTTAGGGGCTTAGGGGCTTAGGGGCTTAGGGGTCTAGGGGTCTAGGGTTTAGGTTAGGGTTTAGGGTTTAAACTGTGTGGCTTGAGGAGAAGCTTCGAGTCTTTGCGGAGGACGAGGAGATGAGGCGCAAGGAGATCGTACCCAACCTTGGGGAATTTATGTGCTTGCTCTCTGTGTCGGACGAGTTCACATGGGACAAGCTGGCAGTTCCCCTTCTGGAAGAGACTTTCGACCGTGGCGTTCTTTGGCTGGTGAAGGCCTATCCCCATCTGGCTCACCTTTTCGCTCCCGTGGACGAGAGGATCGAGAAAACTTGGGAGACCAGCAAGGTGTCTCGAGAGCTTTTGATGTTTCATGCTTGGTTCTTGCATCATGTGGCTCACATCAAGCATGAGCACGAGCACGGCCTCTGCCAACGAGCAAGTTGCATCCTGGAGCGTTACGAGCGCACGAAGGGCTTGCCTTTGCAATCGCACGTCAGTGGCCTCCAGAAGGCCGGAGCCCAAGCGACCAGCAAAGAAGCAAGCAGCAGGAGGATCACTAAGGCACTAAGGTCACCCACTAAACCCAACTTGTTAAGATCCTTCTCCTTGCTTGGTTATCGCGGGCCCCTTTCAAGGCCTGCCGCCGCTTCCGGGCCATCCGGACCTGGCAGGACTTCTTCCGGTCCCTCGAGGTGGACTCCATCTCGCTTCTTTGTCGCCTCTCTCTCTCCCTCTCTCTCTGTCGCCTCTCTCTTTCTGTCGCCTCTCTCTATCATTATTAAAAATAAAAGTAAGAATAATGTGAAAAACTCCTCCAGGTCGAGGCCATGGAGCAGCAGGCGGTTGGGGCCTGGCTGCTCCGTTCCGCTCGGAGGTCGCTTCGAAAGGGCTACCATCGAAATCCCCGCGTGACCAGGGGATGAAGGCTTGAATTCAGGATTTTGGTCCCGTGCGCGTTTAGGGTTTAGGGTTTAGGGTTTAGGGTTGAGGGTTTAGGGTTTAGGGTTTAGGGTTTAGGGTGCATAAGGGGCGCAGTTTTGTCTATCCAGGCGTCCTCTCTCGCACTTGTTGGCCTTCGGAGGTCTTGCAACTTTCGCCTCGAGGTGCTATCCTGTTCAGTGTACAGCTGCGCGAGGAGCTGGTGTACAGTTTCCAGTGTTCAGAAGGACACTTGGAGGATCATGGGACTTAGTAACTAGGGTTATAAATAAGGTAACTATAATTATAACCCCAACTAGGCTACTTATAACCTTACTTACTAAGTCTCATGATCCTCCAAACATGCGAAGCCGACGCAGTGACCTTCAACAGAGCTGTGCAAGCCCTTGGTTCGGGCATCTCGTGATCGATTTAGTCATAGCCTTGGCTAGATTTAGTGGCACAGAAGGAACCGTTGTGACTGAGGCAAGTGCTCCCTGAACCCCCAAAATCCAGTCTCGAGACTTAAACCCAAACCCAATTGAAGCATTAAATCCTAACCCCAACTTACTGTAAGCAAAAGAAATCCTAGAGCCCTGACCCAACTGTCGGAGCCCATGTCTTAAGGTAGTATGGGGCTTTTTACATATATTTCATAGTGTATAGGCGCTGCATCAGATATTATAGGTTGTATTTCCAGGGACCGTTTAGGGTTCCATGGGGTGTTGTAAAAGGTTTTTTAAGGGGTACTGTACAGGCTTTGCAGGTTTTGATAGTTTCGACTCAGCGTGTACGGACTAGTCCCCGTTGAAATCGTTGTGAAAACCATACCGTAAGTGAAGAAGCCCTTCCGATCTTTATCTTCGTGGACACCCTTTTGGAAACCTATCGAACACTTGTGAAACTCCTGTAAAACTCTGGCTAAACCTAAACCCTAAACCCTAAACCCTAAACCCTAAGCCCTAAACCCTGCACCCCCATGTGAAGCCCTGAGGCCACAAAGGCAAAGTCCGCTCCGCGCACCAGAGTTGCGGGTGAGCCGTGGGTGGTTCCGAGACCCAGAGAGCCCAATACCCCTTAAATAAGGAGTATACCTTATATTCTAGGGGCCTTTAAAGGGATCTATAAGGGTTTAGGGTTTAGGGTATAGGAATATACCTTAAATTATAGGGGCCTTAATATTATGATTTAAGGTCTATTATTCCTTATTTAAGGGGTCCCTTGGGATCTCCGAGAACCCGGGACCTCCTCCGCGCTTCGTATGTGCCAGCATCCACCCCTCCTTCCTACCTACTTGGAGGATCATGGGACTTAGTAACTAGGGTTATAATAACCCCAAATAAGGTAACTATAATTATAACCCCCATTAGGGTACTTATAACCTTACTTACTAAGTCCCATGATCCTCGATCCTCCAAGTATGGTATCCACCGTCTCTCTATATGAGGGCTGTATGGTTTTTGTTCATTCATGAGGGTCTGATAACGACGTCGTCTGTTTGCAGAGCTTTCTGGCCTTTGCAGTTCCGTACGTTTGGGCCCCTGTGTCAAAAGCATTCACGAGCTCTTCCCCCAAATATCCGACGACCTGTAATCTATGTGGCGGGCATCCGGGTTTAGGATTTAGGCAAGGCTTCTGGACTATGACTAGTCATGCACCTGCTCTTATACTCATGGGGTGATGCTCTTGATTGGTTCTGCGGGGGGAACCGTCCTTCCTGAAAGTTGAACCCCGGTGCCCAACAAGACATCCGCCAGACGTCTGCAACAAAAAGTTGTCGCTTTGGAGCAGCAGGGCTACTGTGGGCAGGACTCTAAGTTTTTTATACAAGGGCCCAAGGCCTCTGAATCTCTAGATACCTGCATTGAATACACCGCCAATCATACTTAATCACATTTAGATTCCATACTCAAGGCTTCCTAGCTTCATACCGTCCGTGTGACTAAGCGAGTGTTTAGGGGTGCAGGCTTTAGGTGCATCCAGCCTAGCAGCTGCTAAACCCTAAACTTGCTCGGATAACCCTAAACCCTAAACCCTAAACCCTTAACCCTAAACCTTAAACCGTAAACCCTAAACTTGCTCGGATGTCCCGTGGCTCCGAAGTTTACCGAAGCTGCCCGTCTGAGGTTTCAAATCTGGTTTCATGGCTGGGGCTGTAGCGGTTACTGCAAGTCTTAGCAAGTTCTGCTTTACTACAATATTCTGTATTTACTATAAATAGACCGTCGCCCTTATCCGTCGATGCTAGGGCCTGCTAGGAGGGCTTACATCCTAGTGCAATACTCCGAAGTCTGAAGGCTCTAACGTAGTATAACTGGCTAGACCTTAAATCCAAAACCCGAAACCGAAGGCTATCCGTAGGTCAGTATGCAGACGAAGGTCCTCCCAGCAGGTGCAGATTTCCCAAGAGTTGTTGGCTCGGGTGCTTAGAGATGTTAGGGTTCAGAGGAGTATGGGATGAATCTAGGTTGGCACCCAAACCCAGCACCCTAAACCCTACACTGATCCCAAAGTTCTTGAAGTTCGTGGAGCTTGTGGACTGGTATCTCTGGGTTCCGAGTTTTGAGTTTAGGATTTGCGAGTGAGGATTGGGGTTTGGGGTGTAGAGCTTAGGGCGTAAGCTGCAGTAGCGGTTTAGAGTTTCAGTGTAAAGTTCTGTGTTTGGGGTCAGGGATTATGGCGTAAGAAGCGACCGGGAGCAACCTGTTGTGGCAATTCCGGCAGCATTGCGCTTCCAAGCAGCCAGAGGTTGAGTGGTTCTGGGAGGACATCCGAGGCTTCAACATGAAATATCATAAAGCCGAATCCTAAGCCATCGTACGGATTTTGGCTATATTGAGTCAATGTGGCTCACTCTGACTTCTTGTATTCCTCCCTTCCCAAGACTACACCTCATAGTATCTTACACTTCATAGTATCCCGCATATTCCGCGTCATCATGCTTCATCAATCCATGGAATATTGATGGGATATACTATAGCATACTATCCCTAAACCCTAAACCCTAAACCCTAAACCCTAAACCATAAACCCTATAGTGTGCCATAATATTACCCAGAGACTCCGATCTCCCTTAATTAAGGAATATACCTTAAACTATAGTAGGATCCCTAGCATGATTTAAGGTATATTCCTTAGTTAAAGGATATTAGAGCTAAACCCTAAACCCTAAACCCTAAACCCTAAACCCTAAACCCTATAGTGTGCCATAATATTACCCAGAGACTCCGATCTCCCTTAATTAAAAAAAATATACCTTAAACTATAGTAGGAT